GTGTATTACAAAGTTGTAGTCGGAAAGAATATTTAAGAAAGGACTTGTATCGGTAAAGTTTCTTCGGAAAGAATTTTTACGGAAAATTAACTATCGACCAGAGGCGTAACAGTATCTTCTCTAATATGAAATATTTATATATTATATATTAAATGTTATAACAATACCATATTGAATATTTATGCTATACCTTGAAAGTTATAATAATACTATAATGAATATTTATATGTTATACATTAAACATTATAACAATGCTATAATGAATATTTATATGTTATACATTAAACATTATAACAATATTATAATGAATATTTATATGTTATACATTAAACATTATAACAATACTATAATGAATAATAAGATTCATTTTACACTAAATACTCAGAATTTACCAGATGATTAGCAGGTCTGCTTGTCAAAGCACCATCACTCAGAAAAGCCAAAAATACATGAAACATGAAGAAAATCAATGAGTATTTATTGAGATGATTCTGGCACTGAGTAGGTTACATGATTATTTCCATGTGCAGCATGCTCAGGAGCCATAATAGTTGGTTCTAGTACATGAAATCTATCATAGACAGTATGAACATTTGATGAATAAAGTTGTAAGCAAACTTCAGTATTGCCAGAGCAAGTTTGCCAAATGTTGCTGGAATATAGGGAAGAGTGCACACGAAAATCATTGCATCAGTGATGCTTACAGTGACAATATTAGGTTCACTGCTACCATCAGATTTCTGTTTAAATTTCTCATTCGTGCTATTTATGTCTTGTTTATTGTTCCATTTATGTGAGTGAATGAGAGAGAGATATCAGTTAAAGAATGTGATTGGACTTTACCAATGTCAGCTTATTTTGAAGCTAATTGTAATTTATGTTATCCAAGTAAATCTCTTATGCAACTAATTATCTTTAATTTTAGGTCATTGGCTCACACTGTAATTTTCAATGTATCATGACTGAAATTCTTCACTTTGTGCACCGTGATTGATTTTTCAGATCCATCTGAATTTTCTTTACATTTATTTAGGAACTTGTTGAACCACATTTTATTTTTGACTTTGACTGTTAACAGATCTGCAATAATCTTAGGTGGTGATGCCTTCTTAGTGGAGAGACAATAGACTATTATTTTAAATGTTTCCTTAATACGATTGACATTCCTCTTAAGGTCATTCTTGTCTCTCATCACTTGGTAAAATTTCACTTTAGGTGTGTCTTCTTTTTCCTTGAGACAGTTAGTCAAGTGATGCCCACTTTTTTCATGCATTGATACACTGTGAAGAAAGATGAAATCCCTAACTGTTTTGATGGAGTGTCTGATGGACACAGCACCACCCATCTTCAAGTACTGTTTGGAAGCCTTCAAGATAAGTTCCATGTTTATCAGATTTAAATCCTACCTAACTGTCTAACTTGAATAGTTTTGTCTGTTGGTTGCAAAAAAACATTGGGCAAGTGCAATCAAGATTGAAGATGAATAGTATACATCATTCGTTTTGCAGGCCAATCTATTAAGAAGTGAACCAACTGTATGTAGGTTGTCCAAAATTGAGCAGTGGATATGTGCTATTCTGTTGTCCTTGTTGAATTCTTCGTAAGATCCTTCAAGCTGTAGAAAGATGGAGAATCCTCTGTTGTCTTCAGAGGTTCTGGTGTTATGTATTTGATTAGCTCATTGAATACAGATACAAACTTCTCGGATGATTAACTATGTATTTTAAGAAACTTCCTGAAGTGTAATATTTAAAATGAAAAGATGTTGCCAGTAAAGGATGTATGCTCTTACGTTAATTCAAGTTTTTATCTGTCAAAAACTCATTCATTGTTCCAGATTCAAAGATCTCAGAAGGAATGAGATTGCTGGAAAACAAAGTACCATATGGTACTGCTACAAAAATCAAAATATGGAGATTTTATAGTAAACATCCAGAAGGCCACTGTACCATCAGCAAAGGAACTCTCTTCCATCTCCTACCAGGCATGTAAAGGATTATAACCTGTTGGTACAACTGCTAGGACAGTCACCTAGCACACAAGATCATTGAACATTAAAATCATGTTCAGCCACCAGTTTGGTAGCAGGGATCATTAACTGGACTTACTATGTGTGAGTGCTAAGTTAGTAATAGCTTACCATGAAAGCCCAATATTTACATGTTAGATCTGTGAAATCAGTGTACCTTAGAGATCATGACCTATAAGATTTTGCAACTAAAGCTAAGCTTACACATAATTACAGATATTTTTAGAGTGGTTTGGTGGAAATAAGTTGAAAACTGGCTGAAATATGATTGTATGCATAAATGTTTCAGAAACATGATAGAAAAACAATGAAAGAAATGATACATTTAGCTTCCTAAAGTACTCTAACTTTTCAAATTTTCAAAATGGATATATGCAACAGCTAGTTGAGACCAAGAGTTTGATTGATACTCCACAAGCCTATATTTGGTAATGCTGACAATGTTTACACCCTGGAAATTTAGTAGATGTAAATGGACTTAATTTTGAAGGTCATTTGCCTCCGATACATTTTTATACCTCTATGTGTACCTCAGACATGTTTAATAAGGTGTCCCAGTGAATGCTTGTTATAGATATACCAACTAAACACTTGGTCATTTTATGCAATTAAGTGGTGTTGGGCTCATGGACCATGTTTTTTGATGGATTCTGTTTTAGATCATTTTCATAGATCAAGAAAATAGATCTATTTGATTGTACAAAACTGGGTGAATACATTTGAGATTTAAAAACTAATTCTGTTTCCACTGTATTAGTTCATTAGGCATGTATGTTAACTACTATATTTTTGTGCTTATTTTGAACAGAGGGGCCAGTATTTGCAAGAGTGATGACTATTCAGTATTTGGATGTTCCTGTCTTACAATTAAAAAGGTACTTATGAGTCCTCTAATGAAAGAGGTTAAAAATAACATATTTTTGAATAAAACTATCAAAAAGTAGTTTTAATACTCCACTTTAACACATTATGGATGGGTCACAAGTTTACTTGTGTTTTGTACAGAGCGTCTTTGTGTGCCATTTATTAAAATGTTGCATTTGAAAGAAGTCGGACACGTTTATTTTGTTCCGGATGGTTATTATTTTTCTGATTTTTGCTTACAATACCCATATTTTTATAAATGGCTTCTCACAGAAAATGTAATGTGTTGAGTGAAGATGAGATAATTACTGAACTATTTGATGATAATTTGTCAGATCTTCCAAGTGAAGGTGAAGATTCTGATGTGGATGTGTTTGAGAATCATTCTGACAGTGACTCTAGCTACAGCTACGTTGTTAGACCTACAAAGATATGTAAAGTTGTTGTGCTTTCAACTGATTCTGAATCAGAAAGTGATGATGATGATTCTACAAATGTTCCTGTTAGTGATTTGTTTTCCCATTGTGATAACGATAATTGGTCAGAAATAGATATTACACCGAACTTGGAAATGTTTGAAGGAAATCCAGGGGTCACTATAACTCCATCTGAACCTGAAAGTATTGCTGCCGTGACAAGTCTAATGTTTGGTGATGACTTGTTTGAAATGTGTACCTACCATAATCAAACTGCAGAGAAACATAAAATGTCATCTAAAGGTCTTCAGTGGTCTGAAGTTACACCTACTGACATGAGGAAATTCCTAGGCCTTATTCTACTAATGGGACAGACAAGGAAACATAATTGGAAAGATTATTGGTCAACAGATCATCTTTTGATTAGCCCAGTATTTTTGCAGACAGTGAGCCAAAACAAATTTAGACATTTTGGCATTTCAATGATAATCAGAAAATGGATGAGTCTTCAAGCAGGCTCTTCAAAATTCAACCAGTACTGGATTATTTCTTCAATAAATTCAGGACACTATGCAAACCAAAGGAACAGTTGTCATAGGATGAGGGCATGATTCCATGGAGAGGACGTCTAAGATTCCGAACATACAACTGTGCAAAAATTGTAAAATGTGGCCTGCTGGGGAGAATGGTGTGTGAGACTGACACAGGTTATACTTGCAATATGGAGATTTATAATGGTGAGGGGAAAAAATTGGAGGAAACTATTCATTCAGTTCTTGCTCCCAAACTTGGATTGTGACACCATGTATACCAGGATAATTCCAACAGTACTTCCATTGCAGACCTGTTCCTAGAACATAAAACAAGAGTCTGTAGAACAATGAGAGTGAATAGAGGGTTACCGCCAAGCCTGAAGGGTGAAGTTTCAACAATGAAAAAAGGTGAAACAGCTTTTCGTAGAAAAGATGATGTTCTCGTTTTTATATGGAAACACAAGAAAGAAGTGAGAATGGTTTCAACCATCCATGACTCATCTGTTTCTACCACAGGAAAGAAAAATAGAATAACTGGAGAAATAAAAAAACCTGTGTGTGTTCTCTAATATAACACCCACATGTAAGATATTGATCATGCAAATCAGTACCTCTCATACTACACCATTCTCAGAAAAACAGTGAAATGGACAAAAAAGGTAGTACTTTAATAAATTGTGGCCTTTTCAATTCATATATAATTCACAAAGCCCCAAATCAACAGAAAAAAAAAATATAAGCAGTTCTTCCTCTCTCTGGAAGAGAATGGATTACTGACAAAGAGAAAGAAGGCTCACTGGAACTGGAGAGGAATGAAACCGGTCCATCATCTGAAGGTAGAAGGAGAGCCCCACATAAGGATCCCCCAGGAAGACTGTCCAGTGACATGAAGCAGAATATTCCTGGGTTCATTTCATCTACAGGAAAAAAGAAATTTTCCAACCAGAGCATACAGAGTTTGTACTGCCCATGGGAAAAGAAGTGAAATGCGATACATATGCAAGTTTTGTGAGGTTCCACTCCATATAGGAAAATGTTTTACAAGATACCACACTTTAAAAATTTACTAGGTGTGTTCATGTACATACTCTGTAAGTTTCAAATAAATATAAAAAATATAGTTGAACTATGAACAAAATAAAACACATCCAACTCCTTTCAAACTTAACGTTTTAATAAATGGCACACTAAGATGCTCTGAACGAATCATGAGTAAATTCATAACCCATCCGCAATGTGTTAAGATATCATTTTTGGATATCTATTTTAAGGTAATACTGCTTTTATATTGAATAGACTAGATCAGTGCCGGTTATGACTGTCAAAACTGCGGGTTTGTTTCTGTATTTGTTTTTTTTACATATGTATATATCCTTACATCTCTGATTGAAGGGAAAGGATTAAGAGCATTTTCTTTGTAATATAGATCGCTGTTAAAATTTTAGTTCCACTGTTTCATTATATAGTATTGCCCAATTTATTTTGACAACCTAATCTTATTTTGTTGCTAAGAGTACATTTATTAAGTGTATATATAGCTATCATTTGTTAATATTGAAACAAAGAGTTACAAATTTAGTGATAACAAACAAATGTAAAGTATTTTAAACACTTCAAAATTTACGATTACCAATAAATGTGCAGAAATATTCTTAACACAAAAAACAAATATATTGTTATAATAAATAAATTCCAGAATAAGTAATTATTGAACATGAAACCTTTGAAGAAGCAGAATTGAACTGGTGGAAGAAATTGCTTTAATATGGTTGAAGGAATTGGTTTAATATCTTAAAACCATTTTGGAGATGATAAAGATGAGATTTTAAAAGAAATAATACATACAAACTTGTTAAAATTATTAGTTAATATTAGGATGTTTTGGTCGCTACCAAATTATTTTTCATGTAGCCTACCAAACACCTGGTAGTGATTCATTTTGATAAAGTATACATATTTTACATCAAATGAAAAGAAAATCTAAAATCATCATTGTAAATACTGAATGATTAAAAGTAAACTTCTGCTGTTGGCTTATTGGTACCTTTGAACGTGCAACAAGCTAAGTGATGGTATTCTTTCTTGTGTCATAATCTATTAATGTTATTGAAGAATCTCTCAGATTGTCATTTATATTCAAGAAATTATTTTTATTTAACAAAATATATTACAAATTACAGAAAAAAAATCAAAGCTTCAGTTCTCTCTAACACAGTAGTATTTTATACCATACTGTAATCATCAGTACTGATGATTTCAGAAATTTGAAACTCGCCTTCATGAGTATTGATCATAGCTGGTTTTCACACCTATTAGAAGTTTCTATGATCACGTGTTTTAAAAGGCTCCATTTAATATTACAGTAAGCTAATATTAACATAATTTTCATACAATGTTCTTTTCTAAAAAAGATCATAAGCGATATGTTAAGAAGTTTTTTGTTTCACTGTTTTAGTTTTTCCCTTCTTTCATTCAGGTGGTGACTGTAAAATATTTTACTATTTTTGAATGATTTTATGTGGAATTAATTTTGTATTTTGTGTATATTTTATTTAAAATAATCAGTTGGGGCTGTTTATTGTAGCTCCACAGTTAACCAGTTACCTTTATTGTTTTTATATATTTGTTTTTGAAAATTCTTAGAATTTGTTTTTATTGTTGACTAGTCAACAGTTGTTATTAATATTTTTGTACTTTCATGTATTTGGATTGTGAGAAATGAAATGCCTTATTGCACTGATCTCACCAAATTAAATGCTGGGAAGTGCATTGTGGCCAGCTATTCTTTTTAGTGAATTTGTATTACATTTTATAAACAATTGAATAGTTTTTCACACTGTCTTTAAGGATTTCAACTTTAGAAACAGAAGTACAGGATTATAAGAACTCATTTTTTTCCAACCTCGATTCTGAAAGTAGGTATTTTATACATAGTGTTGTTCTATTTTTGTGTTATTCAGTATTTGCCATTGTTTCTCTAACTTAATGCAATATTCTTTTTCACATTTATTGTTCAAATTTATTTTATTATTTTGACTGTCTTTTTTTATTTTCCAGTTTTTCTAACATCACAACAAAATCTAAAAAAATAAAACCAGTTCAATTTTGGGATATATATATGCAGGTTTTTTATGCTTTCTGTATCTTTATATTTTTCTGCTATTTAATAATTTTTAAAATTATGAATATGTGATTAGAGTTGGTCTCTGTATGTTGCTGTTCATCACTGATTAAGTTAACAAAAGAAGTGGATGAATTGGAAAAAGTGTAGTATTTGCTAACTTTTGCAATGGATAAAATTAATGCTTTAAATGTTGTTTCTTACATTGTAACAACATGATCCAGAAGTTCCAATAATAAGAGGATATAATCTTCTTTTTTTGTTTTGCAGGATTTATTTTCAACCCTATTTGAATAGTCCCGTTAATGGATTGTGTGGATATTTTACATAAACAAATATTTATATGGATCAGGCCTTTGTCCAGGAAATGCTTTAAAGCCTTTAAATAATTAATTCTTCAATTTATCTTGTCATATTTGTGGAATGTATAAAAAAACTAAGTTTTGGTAACTTGTGAAAAAATTAAAGTGACTATAATTTAAATTGAAATATCTACAAATATATACTTAAGAAAAGTTTTGTTACATAATTTTCCTTCAGATTTTTTGTAAAGAAGCCTTGTGTTGATTACTGTATTGCTTTGACAAAGCTGTAAAATTATTAGTGTTTCCATCATAGAATTAGGTCAAATTGCTAAATTAATTTCTTAAATAGGCTATAGTTTTTCATGCATATAACCTAATTTTAAAATATATGACTTTTAGTTTTGGATGTTAATATTTTTTACACTTAGAAAGATAATTTCTGCTCAGTTTAGCATTTATTGCTGAATATAGAATTATTTATAACTTTATCAGGGTCTTAAACATTTTTTTAATCTTTTCATAACAGAAAAATTATCAAATATAACAAGGAGAAAAAGTCTAATTGAAAGGGTAGTTAGAATTTCTTATACCTGATATTTGTGGATATAATTGAGAATCTAGCTTATGAATCATGTCAGAAAGATCATTTTTCAGATTTGGAGTCTCCTTGTAGGTCAGCAGTAAGTGTTTGGATTTGCACACTAAAATTGAGGGTTTGATTCTCCATGGTGGATACAGTAGATAGCCCCAATGTGGTTGTGTTGTAAAAAAACAGGCAAAAAAACACTCAGTCTTGGAAAACTATTTTTTAAGGTAGAGTATGTTATATTAAATGAGTTAGAACATTGAAATCAGTAAATTTCATCAAAACCACAGCTGATATAAAGTCATAATGGAACAGAATGATTCAGAACTACATTTTTTCATTGTATATAGAAATCAGTAAATTGCATCAAAACCACAGCTGATATAAAGTCATAGTGAAACAGAATGATTCAGAACTTCATTTTTTCATTGTTTGCCATTTCATAGGTAGTGTGATGCCATTGAAAATTGATCACTCTTTTGGGGAAAGGTAGTAACCCTTTCCATACAAAACATTCATACACTCAGTTCATAAGGATGTGTTCAGATTGGGTATTTATAACTTCAAAGATGAGGATATCCTTGTACTTAATGGCATACACAAACAAAGGAATATGGATTATGTTGGGTAATGAGGATCATCAAGAAAGAGACCTATAGTAAGTTACATCATTACCTTGGTAAGCAAAGTACAGAATCTTGTAACAATTGAGAATCCATGAAAATAAAGGTCAGGGGCAAAAGTTGTCCAAGTGCCCCAGGAAACAGTACGCAAAATAATCAAGAAAGATCTCCATTTGAAAACAAGGCCTACAAGGTATGTGTTCACCAAGATAAGGATTACAGTCATCCTCAAACATTTGGAGAATGAAATGGGTATTTGTGCTATGCTATAATACAAAAACATGTTGGTCAACTTTCCTGGCACAATATCTATAGATTTCTATGTAATTGAAGTGGGCATTGGGAAACTATTGGATGGATTATAAAAAAGGAGAAGGGATAAGAGGTGTGTTTTGGACCTGAGACTCTTTAGATGGAGACTTTTGCAATGGAAACTATGCTGCTGAGCTCTTGTCCCAGATGCATGGTTGTCAGATAGAGAATGACCAAATGTGATTGCATTTAATGTAATAATGTTTTCAGGCTCCAAAATCATTTTAAATAATATATACTCAACATTTTGTATAAGAAGGTGTAGGCAAAAAATGGAGGGTATTAACTAGTAATTTGAAAACTAATCAGGAAGTTATTGCCACATTTTGACATGAGTTATTCAATATTCTTTTAACTTGGCATTTTAAAAATGTTTTGTGTATATAATTAAGTATAGTTTTAGTAACATTTTCCAGAATTTTAATGTCTCCAAACCTACAGAGCCAACTAGGTACAGTAAGGTTGTGGGAGACATCAATTATTGTCATTGTTAGTAGCCTATACAGTCACCTAAGTCTAATCAGCTAGTCACCAATTAATATTTAAAAATAAATTTGATTATATAGGAAAATCATAAGAATAATGTAGGACCAATTTGGATTTTGAAAATTTGATAAAAAAAATCATGCATATATTTTAAGGAAAATATAATGTGGTTTGGTGTTCTCTTTATTTATTTTATTTGTTTCTTAGATGGTGTGATTTGTACTTAGCTGAAAATTAACAAGGATAAAATGTCACTGCCATGTTTATATTTTTTTTTGTGAGATTTTTTATAACAGAGATGTGACATCATTTTTGAATATCTGTTTGTGTTTACTTTTGTTCTAGAAACATCGTATTAATGATTATAATATAGAAAAGCTCTTAAACAAAACACTACAAGATATAAAATCCAAATAGGTAATTTAATTACTGGTACATGAATTTCTCTAGATGTAGAATTCTCAGCTAATAGTTCATATTTAATTGAAGTCTGTGTGTATTCCTATTATCACTAGTGCCTATAATTTATCTATAAGAATGATTGCCTTTTAGGAGTTTCATGTGTTAGTTTTTGTATGATTGTGGTGTGTGTATTGTCATAATATAATAGCAAGGAGATTGAGTCCATTTAGATTTCTATTAGTGGATATAAAGGGAAAAGGTTTTTGGAAACTGTTCAAGATGGCTTTCTTCACCAATTAGTCAAGGAACCTACTAGAAATAATGCTATTTTAGATTTATTGTTGACTTAAAATATAGAAATGATAGAGAGGGTGGAAATTGGAGAATATCTGGGTTCAAATGATCATTGCTCTATTAGGTTCAATGTTTTGCTGCATATGGAGATAAGGAATAATGATATTTTGGTTACAAATTTCAAAAAAGTAAATTTTGAAGGGATGTGACAAGAATTATTTGTTGTGAATTGGGCAGCTATTTGGAGAGACTGATCAGATGTGGAAAATTATGTTAAATGTTCAAATATTCAAGGTAAACATATTCCTTATAGAAAGAAAAGGGTCACTGCAAGTAAAAAACCAGGTTGGCTCACATAGAGTATAAGATATAAAATTAAAGAAAAGCATAAGAAATTTAAATTGACTGGTATGACAGGAGATTTAGAAGATTATAGAAATCAAGAAAATTGGTGAAACAGGAATTAGGACATCAAAAAAGATATATGAGAAAAGGTTGGTTGAAAATGTAATAAGTAACACTAAGAATTTCTTTAAATACATTAAGGGTAAACAAAATGTTAGGATGAGGGTGATCCTTGAGGGATGATAAAGGAAGGTTCATATGTGATGATTATGAGTTTGCTGGGTTATTAACTTATGCTTTTTTTTCAGTTTTTACTAACAAAGATTTAAACAGTATTCCACATCTTAAACAGTTGGTAGATGGAAACAAGATCAATCAAGATGACTGCATTAATTCTGAGCTGGTTAAGAAAAAATTGGGAAGTTTAAAGATTGATAAGGCACTTTGGCTAGATAATATTTCTCCAAGGTTTTTGAAGGAGGTTAAAGATTGGATATTTGAGCCACTTGCTACTATTTTTTGGTCAGTCCTTGAATAGTGGTGGGCAGGTACCAGAGGATTGGAAGTTAGCTAATGTAACTCCTCTTTTCAAGGGCAGTGGTAAAAATTGTCCAAGTAATCATAGACTCATTAGTCTTAATCAGTTCTGGGAAAAGTTTTTGAAAGTCTGATAAAAGATGCTTTGCAAAATCATTTAACAAAGTTTAGAATTTTATTTGTTAGTCAACATGGTTTTACTAAGGGAAAATGTTGCCTTACAGATCTTTTGACATTTTTTGAAAAGGTTACTGCTTA